GATAAAGGTGAAACTATAACTGATTGTAAATCAATTGCTAATGCATTTAATCAGTACTTTGTAAATGTTGGGAGTGAATTAGATAAAGAGATACCTAGGGCAACTGTCGATTATACTAATTTCATGGGTTCTCCAAACTCTAAGAATTTTTTCTTATATCCTACTTGTGCCAGTGAAATTGAAGACGAAATTAATCTGCTGGCAAATAATAAAGCTTCTGGGTTTTTTAGTATTCCAATGAAGATTCTTAAACTTGTTAAAAAGACTTTATCAGTACCTCTTGAGATAATTTTCAATAATTCTCTTACTTATGGATTAATACCAGATTGCTTTAAAATTGCTAAAGTTATTCCAGTGTATAAAAAGGGAACTGAAGATACTTTAAATAATTATCGACCAATATCACTTTTGCCTATATTTAATAAATTGCTAGAAAAATTGGTATTTAAACATCTGATGAATTTCCTTAACAAGTTTGATATATGGCAAATGGATATAGCCGACTTAATTTCCAATAGTTGTACTAATTGCTATTTATGCAACAATTAATTGACACTAATTATAGATATTTGTTATAATATATTTATTCTGTTTATATAGTTAATAGTAGTTAATATGGGTAGGTGTCCCCAATTAGTTTCTTTGTAAACTAGAATTTATTTGACACAATAATAAAGTTTTTGATTTGATTGATTGATTTATGATAAACAATTTGGCTTCCGCCCAAGGCATTCGATCAACAACTCATGCACTACTTTTGATCACAAATAAAATTCAAAAGGCTATAGATGACAGAAAGTTTGCATGCAGTATTTTTCTTGATCTCTGCAAGGCCTTTGACACAGTTAACCATGACATACTGATCAACAAATTAGATCATTATGGTGCGAGAGGAATAGCAAAGGAATGGTTTTGCTCATATTTAAAAAATAGAAAGCAGTATGTGTCTATTGCCAATACTATATCTGAGTGTAAGGAAATATGCTGTGGAGTTCCTCAGGGCTCTGTCCTTGGACCACTGCTATTCTTGCTATACATTAATGACTTTCAAAATTGTTCAAATTTGCTTGACTTTCATTTATTTGCTGATGACACTAATCTGTTTTATACTGATAAAAGTATCAGCAATCTCGAAAATAAAGTTAACAACGAACTGATGAAAATAAACCAGTGGCTTATTGCAAATACACTCTCTTTAAATATAGATAAAAGTAACTATTTTCAACCATCTCAAAAGAAATTATCTCGTTATCTATTTCCTCAAAATGTCTAATGAGAGAAAAAAGTGTAAAATATCTGGGAGTAATTTTTGATGAATATTTAAATTGGAAATGTCATGTGAATCAAATCTCAAAAAAAAATATCACGAAATATCGGTATTCTTGCAAAAATGCAATATTATGTCCCTCAAAACATTTTAAAACAATTGTATTATTGTTGTGCTGGTGTAATGTACTCAGGTGAATAAGATGTTTGTGTGATGTTACTCTGAGTGTATATCCATACCGGGCAGGCTTGAAAAATATGCCTGGCCACGGCGGGATTCGAACCTACGACCTTTGGAATACTAGCCCAATGCTCTTCCAACTGAGCTACGTGGTCAGGACGGTTCGAGTATGCGATTCAAGCCTGCCCGGTGTGGATATACACTCAGAGTAACATCACACAAACAATTGTATTATTGTTTGATTTATCTGTATCTTACTTATGGAATTTTAGTTTGGGGCAATAAAAATGTTGTTATTCTCCAGAAGAAAGTTATCCGAATTATAAATTTTTCTGAATATAATAGTCATACTAGTGAACTATTTAAAAAACTCGAACTCATCAAATTCAAGGATATTGTATTCCTTCAGTATGCTTTATTCATGTACCAATTTCATCACAAAATTATTCCTACAGTTTTTGAGGAATTCTTTACCCCAACTTCTGAAGTTCATAAATATAGTACTAGGCTTGCTTGTCAAGAGTCATTTTATATGCATAATATCAGATCTAATTATGGTAAATTTGCTAAAATTTGGAACTGTCTTCCTTATCATTATAAAGTTCTTAGTTTATCCAGCTTCAAACACTCAATCATATGTGACTTTCTTTCCAACTATTAATTGTATATTTATAGTTTTGTATTCCATATAACTTAATTCTGTGTATATGTTATGTCTACATTATGCTTGTGCTTATATTTTGCATATATATATAAAAATTTATTTTTCTTAAATCTCTATATAATGCCATCAATCCCCCAGCTAATTGAATATTAGTAATTTAATTCAAATGGGTTATCTGACTCGATTAACTGTATATGGTTATCTCAGAAACCCAGCACGAATTATTTTGTCTTATTGATTTATTATTAATCGTTCTAAAAAATTTTTGTATATTTTTTATTTTTGTAAAGCGTGCTGAATAAAGTCTTCTTCTTCTTCTTACTTTTCTAACAGAGTGTTTCACACAGTCTGGTTGCATTCCCAAGGCGTTTGCATATGTACCATCATTTGCTCAAATCTTCCAGCTGACGCACACAACAAAATCACCAAGAGATGAACATTCAAAGCATAATCCAGTTGACCAAACAGTCAATTTTTTCGACAAAAGAAGTAAAGAACCATCTTGTCCTAAACTAACTGCTGTTCATTCAGAACTCAGCGATTCAGTGTGGAACGACTTGCAGTATGACTTGATCTGGGAAAATGTAGTCGACTACACTTATTCACTGTGTAGTACTAACTCCGAACATCAACAGAAATGTTTTGAGTTATATACAAAAGCCAAGAGAAAAAGCAGTAAAAAAACGCAACCGGTTTTAATCAATGACCATGCCGTCAATGGTTTTCTATCAAATGTTAAGAATATTTTACTTAAATACGAATATTTAGTGGACGACAAAGGCAATGGGGAAATTTCAACAAAACATGAAAAGCTAGGCAGTTGCTCGAAGCATGATTGTTCGAAGTCTACGCGGCGAAATGATGGCCCATGTTGCTCTAACCAGTCTGCTAAAAACGATACCGAAATTTCACGGGTGTTCGAACAATTGGAGGTTTGCGGAGATTTGTTAACGATTGCTGAAAAGGCTATAGACCTGAAGTTAGAAGCGCCAGATCACGAAGGGTTAAGCATTAGATCAAATATAGACGCAAGTGAGAAATCTATGATGGAGGAGCCGAGCACGAAGGTTCGAGCACTAGTATAAATTCTAGCGAGAAATCAATGATTATGGGTAAAGAAACTGCATTAAACCTTGGCGATAATGAGGATGTGTGCTATAAAGAAGAACACCCCTCACAAAATGAATTAGGAAACAAAAAAACAGATGTGATTGAGAATAGTAAAGAACTTTCAAGCAAGGCGAAATCCGAGTGTAACAAACACTGTATGTCCTCGCATTTGGCTTATGCTAAAAGACATTTATGCCCCATTGAGGTAGATGAGTTTTTGACAAATGAACTTCACGTATTGCCTGGTGGAAACTGGACGTGTGAAGAGGATACTGAGCTTGTTCAGTTGTTGGTCAAGTCTTTGGGTGGTGCTACTAGTAAAGTCAACAGCAAGGTAACCTCATGAATTACAGTTCTTTATATTTTTTCTCCCCGGACGGGGTTCCTTGCGGTCTTTGAATCCTTGAAAGTCTTTAAATGAAAATGCATGTGAAAGTCTTTAAATGTTCGAAAAGTCTTTGAATTGTATGAAAACGCACAGAAAGTTTAACCCATTGAGTGGCAGTACTCTCCCTTCGATCGAGTAAAATCGTCTGGCGTTAGACAGAGTAAAATAATAAAGTATAAGGCGCACTGCCACTTAAAGGGTTAACAGGATGCATTGGCAGATCTGATTAAGGTTACAGAATACCTTTGAGTGTTAATTTTGCCTAAAATCTTTTTATTGGTTTCCATGAAAGCATTAGACTAGTTCTACTATGTAACAAAGTTTGGACGAAAAATGTTGAAAACTCGCAGAGTTATTTAATAAAATACATTTCGCGTGCAATAAGAAAAACATTGAAAATGTAATATTCAAATTCAATTTTCTCGCGAAGAATTTTACGGCAATTACTGATTTTTAAACGAGTTGTGCTCCTGCGGGTTTTAACGAATTTTTCTCAAATTTTCACAGGACATAGCTAAAGACTTCAGTTTCAAAACTGTGTTCGGCTTTGTTCTAATTTTTGGATATTTTAATAATAAGGAGCAATTCACACAAACGATTCAGAAATATATTGCAGTCGTCAAAGAAATCGCCATATCACCGGAATGACGAAATAAACAAAAATTTCCGAACACGATTTTTTAGAACAACTATTTTACTGTATAAAACTGATATTTTCATAAATATATCTTAAAACCAGCAGGAACATAACTCAAAAGCGTAAAGGTACCGCGACTTAATATTTTCCTAACTAATTCTTACATTTTATTGTTTGTCAATTTTACAACTTTATCATATTTTGCATGCACTGGCTAACATTTGGTGAAAATTTGATGAAAATCGGACTGATTTTGAGCGCGCAGTAGCGATTTTCCACAAAACGCCAAAAAGGGTGTCCTGCAACCTTAACCCATTGAGTGGCGGCATGCACTCTCCCCTTAACGAGAAAAATAGTTATTTGTCAAGTGTTACTACAGGAGAATAGGAGCCATCTCTTACTTGTTCAGCGTTACTAAAGGCAGTAAAGAGTGATACCTGTACTAAACTAACTTTATTCATACTGGATAACTTTATCAGTTCTAAGCTGTTCTTCCTAGAGGTTCAGTAAGTCACCCATTATTTGTCAAATGTTACTGCAGGAGAAAACCAAAGCTAAACTAACTTTATTTATACCCGATAGCTCCATCATTTCTAAACTTTTCTTTTAAGAGATTCAATAAGGATCATCCCCTATGGGTTTAGTGTTACTACAGGAGGAAAAGCTGTAGTGTTTACGGAGACTGGAAGCACTCTTCTCGTCTGCGAATTGCAAACCCCAGTCACTGAAGTGAAAAGCACATTACCAATAACCGCTGTGCTTGTGTTGTATTTGATTTACAACCATGCAGGAAAAGATTAAAGTGCCAGTAACCCCAATTTTTTATAGCTGTAATATTTGGTGGTCGAGGTACTGTAAGTGTTATCAGTCGAGCCGAAGGCGAGTTTGAGAACACTTACCGAGACCTTGATAATTCGGGATGTCACAAAAACCGAATTCAATAACTGCTTTATTATACATTGCATTTTCATTAACTCTTTCGACAAACAATGATTTGTCGCACAAAACAACGTATGGTTCTCATAAAAAGCAGTAGAAACGATTTAAAATATCACAATAACAGCATGAAAATATTAGAAATATCATCAACCTTACAACTAGAGTTCCCGATAAGAAATATAAAAAAGGTCTGCAGGCCTAGAAAATATATTTCTTTTCCTGGCAGCAAAATTCAAAAATACAAATTTCCTATGTAAGTCAAATATAAAGCTTCCTGCACATGTAGATTTCAGAGAACGTATGGTGCCGCACATTGTGATAAACTTCAATTTCGGCACAAGACAATCTCGACTTGCAAAACGCTTTTCTAAACTGTAAGTCAATTATATGGCATTCCAGTATATAAGATGACAAAGCTTTCCTGCAAGATGTAACAAGGTTTCCTGTCAAGATATTTTGTTAAAAATTTCCTGACAGCGGTACCTGCTGGCGCTGCCGGACATTTTCCAGCACTGAAGGTCTGCTTTTTGCACAAAAAATGTTTTCTTGTTTTTATTCGTGTATTTTTAAACTGCCGCTTGCTGTAATATTACCCATCGCGGGCTCAACCTGCTCATAACTCTGTTATTTGCTAGCAGATAAGTGTGTTATCAGGGCGCGAAATAACGGCCGGTCAACGGACAATGCAGGGCCGCCCAGAGGTTGGCGGGGGCCCGGGGCAAATTTTTTTTAGGGGGCCCTATCTAAAAAAATTTTTCGGGAAAAATTTTTTCCGGAAAAATTCTGGCGACCCCCAACATTAGATTTTCTGGTGCTAAAATTTGGAACTGTCTTCCTTATCATTATAAAGTTCTTAGTTTATCCAGCTTCAAACACTCAATCATATGTGACTTTCTTTCCAACTATTAATTGTATATTTATAGTTTTGTATTCCATATAACTTAATTCTGTGTATATGTT